CCTCTGTGTCTTCTATCATTTAGAAGTCAGTGTTACACTCCCATGCTTTGTCGTTATACTTCTCTAGGTCTCCTATGCATTCCTAGTAGTAGTTCTTGACTGTAGTTGAATTCTTAAGATTTGCCATCTTCGTAATGCTTGTCTTAATCTGTTCTGTTTGTTGGTTCTCTAACTCCATAACTGCTTCGCAACTACCGAACGTCTCATGAGTGCTGTTTAAGCACTTGTAGTAGTTGCACAAGTCTTCCCTTCGATCTTCAAATATAATCTAGCATAGAAGCTTCTAAAGCGAGTTTTTGTATAAAACCTCAATTCTTTCTAGATTTGCTCTGCTCTTGCTCTCCTTGATTTTTTCGTTTGCAAACTTAGTCATAGTTCGCATGATCTTCGTATATTGTGGTGATAGAGATGGTTTTGGCGCTAATTCGTCAAAAGCCTCTTGTTCTAAGGGGGTAAGCGATTCTGGTTCTGATTGTTTGCTTGCATTGCCTCCTCTTCAGTGTCTTCACTGTTCATGTTCTAATTAGGCATTCTGATAAATGTGGTGTTAAGTTGTCTGCCTTTCTTGCTAAGTGGCATTGAGCTGTTGCCATACTTTTGTCTATAGTTCCCTTTCTTTGATTGCTTGCACTTTCGCACCATGTATCTAGGCTTGTTGCAATTGAAGTAGAGCCGTTCCTTAAGCTGTTGCTCCTTGTTAGGGCTGTGTAGGCGGTTGCCTTCCTTGAAGGTGGCATTGAGTTCCATAGGGTCTAACCATCAGTTGTCTCGAGAATGGTTGTCTCTCTTTCGACCTTCGTTACCTCGATACTTGTAACTCTTCTTTGGGTTGTCGTAAGTTTGTTGTTCCTTCTAGAACCCATACAGCTGGATGTCAATCTGGACTGTATGTTCGATGAGCAAGACCATGTCTTTTGGTTGATGTTCTATACACGCAAGATCCATATGGACATGTCTCTTTAGTCCACAACAATAGTGGCTAATGAGCGTGTGGGTATCCTAATTGGTTTAGTTGCCATATCTTGGAATTCTGTAGTGTATGTGAGGGCCCTACTAGTCTGCTTTAGTTTGTGCAGGCGGACGCTCGATGGAAATGAAAGTGATAATTTCCGACTACGAAGAGATCACCGATACGCCATCGAACAAGTGCTCTAAACAGAATAGGTCGAAGTCTAGAGTTGAATGACTTCTATGGCCATTGAGGATAAGATGTGTAATTTTCCTTGTATAATAAAGAACAGTGGAAGTGCAATGCCAGCAGCTGAAATTGTCTCTATAACTGTAAGTCTTTGTCTGTTCCCTGGAGCTTGTATATAAAGCTATAAATATTAGAATATAAAGTAAGATAAGTAGAAACAACTTACCTCCTTTACTATAGATGGTACCAACACATGTTCACCAGTGCTCATTCCTACATGGAATCCCACTTCATCAAAGTTGTAGATATCACCTGCAGTAATATCTAGTTGATTACACACATCTTTAAATTCATAAAACCATTCTTTAATAGCTGATACTTCATGAGATGCAACCCGTGCTGCTTCAATTGGCTGGGTTTTTATTGTATGGAAGTTGTGTTGTTGTGTCTTAATCCATGTCTGGAACCACCGTTATGACGGTGGTGCAAACGTTGGAGTTTCTGCTGCACGTAGTTGGCAGATGGCACTGAACACCATAGGCTTAGTTGCACCGTACGCATTTTCGTATGAGCGTTAGATGTATCTTTGTATAGCTGTAACTTGTACATCAGACAGTACTCTGTTCTGGCCTCCGCGTGGCACAGCGGTGCGTTGTGGTGATGCGCGTCGTTGTCGTAGTCGTATAGTCCGGAGCGTACTTGGGTTTACTCTGTACATCCGTGCTACTGTAGCACTCTTCTCTGTTGGGTTTTCATTTAAAAATTCAATGGCATTTAAAAGAGCTTCATTTTTATTTATTTCAACTACCGGCATAGTTGTGGTTGTAGTTGTGCTCGTTGTCGGTCGTGTTCATGGTCGTCGGAGTCCGCTCCCGAAGTGTCCCATAATCGCTTTCGCGTCCTAGTTCGCTTTCGCCAACCGCCTCCAGGCGGTGGTTTGAGAACCAACGATTAATAAGAGAATGGAATCAGGTCAATTGCTAGGGTTGACTATAAATCCCCTGTCCATGAGGCAGAATGTGACCCTTTGAAAGATTACAGCCACTACTGCTGCACTGAGACAGCTTGGTGTGCTACACGACATGTAATTTGTAATACACACCCCAGGCATTCTTCCTAACGATTGCACACGACCTCACATCAATCTCGCCAAAACAAACAGACAGGTACACCTCATCTTTTCTACAATGTATACAGAATGACTTTCTAATCGAACAAAATGGCATCATGTACAGCACATCATGTACAGCACGTCTCTATGCATCATCAAGACCGCCAAGCGCGCGCGTATAAGCAATGTATGTATGGGCACATTTCCAACTATACAACTCCAATAACCTCTCCACCACGGGCTGCTCTACAGTCTCGGCTTGCTCTTGGACTTCTCCTCCTCCAGCGCCTCGGCGTACATCCTGTCCAGCTCATCCCTGAACATCTTGGCTACCTTCGGTCTCTTCATCTTAAGACTGCATCAAAAAAAGTTAGCGAACTGTCCAGTCCTCACAGAGGTGGAGGGGGGGGATAAAACTCACGTAGGCGTCAAAGTCTCATTATCAATCGAGAACGGCTCAAGCGCCAAATGCACCTTCCTAACCCTCTCCCAGTTGTTAAACTGGGCCTTCTTCCCAATCTTCTCCAGCTCCACCAAAAACGCCCTAGTAACCCTCTGATCCTTACACGCCTCCCGGACCGCCGCCGCATCCAGGGGATCAATGCTCTTCTTCAAGATCGCGCTCGCGAACGGCGCAAACGCCATCGGATCCACGCCGAACACCGACACCAGGAACGCCTCGGTGCTGTCGCCGTGCACGAACGCGATGTTGGCCAGGTTCGTGTTGGCGAGGTACACGTTCTCGAGGCGCTCGGGGGAGACGTACTCGCCCTGCGCGAGCTTGAGGAGGTTCTTGACGCGGTCGACGATCTTGATGCGGCCGCGGCTGTCGATCTCGGCGATGTCGCCGGTCTTGAACCAGCCGTCGGATGTCATGGCCTTGGCGGTCTCGGCGGGGTCGCGGTAGTACTCGCGGAAGAGGGCGGTGGTCTTGACGAGAAGCTCGCCGCGGGGGTTGGGCTTGTCGGTCACCAGGTACTCCATGTCGGGGACGGAGGAGAGGCAGACCTCGACGGAGGGAAGGACACCGCCGGAGTTACCGGTGGAAGTGTCCGAGTCCATCTGGCACGAGCCGATGGCGTACGTCTCAGTCATGCCGTAGCCCTGCTTAATTGGGTTTCCGAACGCCGCGCGCAGCAGCGTGTGAAGCTGGGGGTCAATGGGCGCCGATCCGGAGACCATGCGTTTGGAGTTCTGCAGGCCGAAAGCCGAGCGCAGCTTAGGGGTGTACAGGCGATCGTAGACGGCGTGGAAGACAGTAGCCTCGCCCTCAGGCTTACGCAGGTTCGCCAGCTTGGTGTTGACGACGTGGCGGCCCATGACGCCCTTGAGACCCTCAGCCTCGAGAGCCTGGGAGCGGATGGCACCGCCGAAGCGGTTGTACAAGCGCGGCACGGAGACGAAGCCAGTGGGCTTGAGCTCTTTCATGTCGTCGACGAGGCCGACGATGTCGCCGCAAAAGTACCCAATGGAGGAGCCGCAGAGCAGGGCGCCGCCCTCGGTGACGCGCTCGTAGATGTGGGCGAGCGGGAGGTAGGACATGACGATGTCGTTGGGGGTGCCGTGGGACACAAACCTGCCGGTCGAGACGGCGGCCAGGGCGTTGGCCTGGGTGAGGACGACACCCTTGGGATTGCCGGTCGTGCCGGAGGTGTAGTTGATGGTGATGATATCGTCAGGCTGGGGTGGGTTCATTGGGATAGATGATTTGGCACCGAGCTCCTCGACATCGCCGATGTAGTGGATAGCAACACCGACCTCCTTGCCGAGGGTGTTGAGCAGCTCGGCCATGGAGTTACCTGGCTTATCCGCACCATTGAGTGGGTCCAGGCAGATAATCAGCTTCATGGACGGCACTCTCGGCGCGAGCTTCAGCAGCAGCGGGATATGCGGCAAGCTGGTAACCACACACGCCAGCCCCGCGTGGTTGATGATATACTCCGTCGTCTCCGGGCCCAGGGTATCGTAGATGGACACGGTGAAGAGGGACTGCGACATGCACCCCAGATCCGCAATCTGCCACTCCGGCCTGTTCTGGCACCACAGCCCAACACCATACTTATCCCCCGTAACCCCAACCCCCTTATGCAGCTCGACGACGCCAGCGCCGAAGTTGCGACGCCTCTCCGCAACCTGCGCATACGTCTCCCACGTATACTTGCCCCACGTCTTCTTGGCGGCGTCGTAGCCGCGCTGCCCCAGACAGCGACGGCCCGCGTACTTCTTGGCCGAGGCCTCGAAGACGTCGTGCGCGGTGTGCAGCGACGGGTCAATGGTCGAGAAGAGCGGGCCGCTCTGGAACTTCCAGTGCCGGTACACGGCGCTGCGGCCTTCGATGGCGGTGCCGGGGAGGGCGACGGAGTAGGGCTTCAGGCCTGGTGGGGGGGAGGCCAGCTGCTTGTAGTTGGCATCCTGGTCTTTGGTGAGGTGGAAGGCGGTCGACATTGTGGCGGTTTAGTTGGGTAGCCTGTGAGGATGAGGAGTGGTTAGCTGGGGGGCTGTTTGTTATTGGTTTGGAAGAAGGGTTGCCCTTCTTCATGGCTTCTTTCTTTCTTTCGTTCTTCTCCAATTGCGGGGATGGCGGGACTTACAGAGCGAAGTGTATCACAGGAAGTCGCAATGCCAAAAAAGTGAGACAGGCTTCGACAAAGAAGAAACACGAAAAGAGAGAATAGATCTCGAGAGAGCGTAGGTATTTGAAAAAGGAGAAGGAGGAGGGATATGTGCAGGAGGAGATGAGATAGTATAACTATGAAGAGTAGTATGAAACTCTCGTCGTCCGCACGCTTTGCTTTTTGGGGGTGTGCGGCCGGACCTCCGACCATTTCGAACTTATCGCAGGGACCGAGGCTCGGCCGATTTGCTGAGGATTTATGGAGCGCTAATTGGACTAGAAGTTTGTTCTCCACCCAATAATGAACGTCACCACTCACGAATTGTGCAGAGTGTGGAGAGTGTTAGCTCGTGGCATTCATGTGAAAGCGAGGGTTGGGGATTTTTGGTGTGGGGTAACAAATTCCAGTAGGCAGGTTGGTTGTATCCTAAAGAAGACTGTACTGTAAGAAATTGTCTGTACCTACCGAGTATATCTCCGTATGGGATGGGATGTGTGATGCGCTCCGGTGGTGAAATGGTTCTTCAGCTGGGAATACAGATGTACGTGTTGGTGGCGAATAGGATGGATGGGTGAGGGGCGCCGTGTACACATACACCCATAAAATCTTTCATTCATTCGCTATCGCGACGACTTACATCCATCTCATCAGATAACCCCCCAACCCGCTCAAACAGCAACCACAACCTCCGCCTCCTTCACCCCCTCGGCAGCAACATCTTTATTCCCCTCTTTCCCCCCCTCGGTCCTCGCCGCCGCCGCAGCAGCAAACGACTGCTCAAAATCCCCAATAATATCATCAATATGCTCCGTCCCCACCGAGATCCTAATCAAATCCTCCGTCGCCCCCGACGCAATCTTCTCCTCATCGCTCAACTGCTCATGCGTCGTCGACCACGGATGAATCGCCAACGTCTTCGAGTCCCCCACATTCGCCAAGTTGGAAATCAACTTAAACCCATCCACCACCTGGCTCCCCGCCGCGCCGCCGCCCTTAACACCGAAGCTCAGCATGCCGCCGAAGCCGCGCGCGAGGTACTTCTTCGCGTTCTCGTGGGTGGGGTGGCTCTCCAGCCCGGGGTACGAGACCCAGGACACATGCGCGTTCTTCTCCAACCAGCGCGCGAGCGCCAGCGCGTTCTGGCCGTGGCGCTCGGCGCGCAGGGAGAGCGTCTCAACGCCCTGGATGAGCTGGAATGCCGCGAAGGGGCTTAGGCAAGCTCCAACATCGCGGAGGACATCGACGCGCGTGCGGATCGCGAAGGTGATCGGGCCAAACGTCTCCCAGAACTTGAGGCCGTGGAAGCCGGGGGCCGGCTCCACCATCTCGGGGAACTTGGCCGCGGCCTTGCCCCAGTCGAATTTTCCACTGTCAACGATCACGCCACCGATGGTGGTGCCGTGGCCGCCAATCCATTTCGTAGCGCTGTGGACCACGATATCGGCACCGTGGTCGATGGGGCGGCAGAAGTAACCCCCAGCGCCAAAGGTGTTATCAACCACCAACGGGATCCCCGCATCGTGCGCGACCTTAGCCAGGGCCTCGAAGTCAGGGACGCTGTACTTTGGGTTACCGATGCTCTCGATGAAGACAGCCTTCGTCTTCTCATCAATGGCGGCGGCGAAGTTGGCGGGGTCGTTGCCGGCCACGAATTTAGTGGTTATGCCTAGGCGCGGGAGGAGGACCTTGAGCTGGTTGTAGGTACCGCCGTAGAGGGCGGAGGTGGACACGATGTTGTCGCCGGACTTGGCGAGGGCGGCGAAGGCCATGAATTGTGCGGCGGCGCCGGAGGAGGAGGCGACGGCTGCGACGCCGCCTTCGAGGGCGGCGATGCGCTTCTCGAAGACATCGACGGTTGGCTGGGGGGGGTTAGCGGGGGGTTGTTGGGGGTGTGGAGATGCTGGTAGCAGTGACAGCTAACAAGCAGGGCGGTGACATACGTTACCGATACGGCTGTAGATGTTCCCGGACTCTTTCAGGGCGAACAGCCTCGCGCCGTGGGCCGAGTCATTGAAGGTAAAGCTCTGTACGACCCGTCAGCACTTTATCACCATCAGAAGTCCTCGTCCCCCGGATCCCAGGTATTTCCTTACCGTAGTCGCATAAATTGGCACCGCGCGCGCATTCGTCGTTGGGTCTGGCTCCTGGCTAAATCATCTAGTCAGCTTCTCAAGTCCCTGCCTCCATTTCTTGGGAATGGAGGGGAGCGTTGGTTCAGTAATCGCCCTCCCACCACGATAATCCCACCACGATAAGACGACTTACCCCGCATGTAACTGTAACGTCTCAAAGTTCTTGCTGAGTCCCTCTGCCATGATTGCTGTCTATAACTTGTCGTAAAAAGCTATATAAAAGGTATGTAATATACTCGAGGTATTAGAGTAGTCTTGCAAGGTCTGGGAAGCTTTTTGTAGGGCTGGGGCAGGGAAGGAGGTTTATGATTGAAGATGAAAGGGCTAAAGGCGATGTCGGCGGCACGCAACGCGGCTGCGTCCCGTCGATCACGCAATAAGGGTCACCACCCTCCAGGCCACCCAACAGAAAACCGAGTTGAGTGGCTCTAGCTCCCTCCAACCTCCCCCCTCAATCTCAAACACCCCAACATCACCACCAATGGAACAAAAATATGAGGACTCCTAAACATGCAAAAACCCAAGAACGGGATAGACAGAGAGTGTCAGAAAAAAGAAAAAAAAAAAAAAAAAAAAAAAGGCGCCCACCCGTCCCCTGAATGACGACACTAGAAAGATGTTGAAGAAATAAGATAGTAAGTAAGTAGACTGGGAGGGAAGATGGGTGGTAGTAGTAAGTAAGTAGCTTGGGAGGGAAGATGGTAGTAAGATATAAGATAGTAAGTAAGACAGTAAGTAAGTAGACTGGGAGGGAAGAAGTAAGTAAGATAGTAAGTAAGTAGATTGGGAGGGAAGATAGTAAGTAAGTAGATTGGTAGGGAAGATGGTAGTAAGATAGTAAGTAAGTAGACTAAGGGAAGATGGGTGGTAGTAGTAAAGTAAGTAGCTTGGGAGGGAAGATGGTAGTAAGATATAAGATAGTAAGTAAGATAGTAAGCAAGACAGTAAGTAAGTAGACTGGGAGGGAAGATAGTAAGTAAGTAGATTGGTAGGGAAGATGGTAGGAAGATAGTAAGTAAGTAGAAGGGAAGATGGGTGGTAGTAGTAAGTAAGTAAGTAGCTTGGGAGGGAAGATGGTAGTAAGATGGTAAGTAAGTTGGAGGGAGACAAGTTGCCAAGAGGTGAGAAGTCATTTCAGCGTTTTGTTGGTGGTGAAGTTGATGGAGAAGAAGGAGAGATGTTATTAACAATATCGACAGCTTATTATTAATGTATATACGTATAGATGGACACATTAATAACGAACATAATTAATTCTGCATCACCCGCATCACCACCACTGAGACCCTCATCTCCGCCGCTGCCAACACCACGTCTCCGGAACCGCCTTCACCATCACCGTCGCTAATACCAGAAACGAATGAATTCATCCACTTATCACCACCCCAGGTACCCACAATACCCTCCCAGCCTCTCTCCACCCGCCTCCCTACCCATTGATCATTATTGATCATTGATCCATCAATCCTACCTGCCCCCCAAAAAAAACCACCACTTCCCCAACGACCACCACCTCATCTTCCTAATCTCCCACCACGACCGGAGCCCGCAATCGACAAACACCACGACGACGATGGGCTGCGCATTCCTCTCCCCCCTCCGCGTCTTGCAGCTCGTCACCGCGAGCGCTGTGCTCATCCTCTCTTCATATGGTACGCCCCCTTCCCCCCCCTTTTGCGCGCGACCCCGAGTTTGGCGCGGGCGGGTGCTAGTTCGGCGTGGACTGCTGGCGGTAGTGGTATCGGGAGAGTGGTGTGATATAGATAGGGGGACGGGAGGCTAACGAGAGGTAGTGGCGCATTGGTACGATGCAGATACATTGACCGCATCGCCGTCACAGTTTAACTTCTTGATCTTTACGGGGGTGTGGAGTTTGCTGGGTATTTTCTATTTGGAGGTTGTGCCGAGGAGGTGGCCTAGAGGTATGCCTTCCCCCCCCCAACCTGCCCCATCATTTCCCCCTCCTCCGCTAGGGAACAAGAAATTAACGATTGGTTGTTCCTACAGGCTCCCACCCCTACGCAGCATTTGCCCTCGAATCCCTAACAACCATATTCCACCTCTCCGGCTTCATCGCCCTCGCCGTCTTCCTCTCCAAGCTCCTCTTCTGCCGCGGCTCCGTCTGCAACGCCGCCCGCGCCGACGTGGGCGCCGCCTCCTTCGGCTTCGTGTTATGGGTTATCTCGACCGTGATGGTGGGGGTGGAGATCTTTAAGGGGGGCTTTAGGAGACAGGGTGGGGGGAAGGTCGAGATGAGGGGGGTGGGGACGGCGTAGCTTATATTGATGGGGAGGAGGGGGGGTGGATTGGTGAAAGGGCGATATATAGACGCAGGGGGACGATGATTTTTTTGATACCCGCGAGGGCGGCACACAGACACGGCCAAGATGGAGGGGGCGGCGACGACGACATTCCCCGGTGTGCATACTATACGAACCGGGAGAGCGCCAGAGACAGATGGATGCATGTACAAACAACGACGCGGCATGGCGCGAAACGGCGTGGGGGGACTTTTATGGGTGGTTATATAAGAATTTTGTAGGATTCATATACCTGAGGCGCTTTTTGTCGCTTTCTATACATGGAGGGAAGGATGGAAGGGAGGGGATTACATAGCATGGGTTCGGGGGGGGGTTCTTGAGCGATTTTGAGGGAAGGATTTTCGGGAATAAGAACTGTATATCTAGATATTGTTTTTAAGAATTATATATAAGTTAACTTAACGTGGTTTATCAGTACGTCGGACATATCAGTACCTCGGACACTTTTCATTGGCATTCTACTTTGAATATCAATAAATCAACCATAACATATTAAATTAACTATAACTAAGCGGAATCAGATGAACTAGACATATCTATAGCTTCTTGACAAGTTCGCGCATTATGACCAGCTTTTCCACAGATCCCACAGCATCGCCTAGACGGTTGCCCCTCCTTGCGACTACCCCCAACCGCACGTACGTCGCGTCATACCTGCTCATCCACATCCTTCTGTGCGATAATAGCCTGTGCATCCTCTACTATAAGTGCACCTCCTTCACGGACACGAGCCTTTTTAGCCCTGCGGCGTTTGCTAAGGGCTTCGTTGGCTGCTCGAAGGGTACGTACCTCAGCAGACAGAAGGGTGTTCTCATGTGCTAGTCGCTCCGTACCCTTTGCCAATGCAATAACTGTCCCGAAGAGTGGAGTTGGCGAGCTTCCTTGGTGATGGGCAATTCGATTTCGAACGAGGGTTGTTTGTGAAAGAGCTTCAGTTGGGTTGGAAGGGGTCTGGGAGACCCAAGGGTTGGTGTTGGCAGTAGAGGGTCTAGAGGGAGTTGGAGTCCGTAACCTCACGTCAAGCTTTGAAAGCACTGCTTGCGGGTCGAAAGGCACTAAGCCAGCTCCGCGGAACCCGGACTGGGCGTTTTGGGCTGTCATGGATTCCAGATATGCTGCTCTAAAGGCGAGAAAGAACTCGACCTTGGTAATGTGGTTGATATGAGCCTTAATGAAGGTCTCAATCTGCCGACCATATGCCCGCTTCAACACACTAAAGCACCCGACATCAAGTGGCTGAGTTAAATGAGACGAGTGGGGAGGTAGTCCAAGAGTTATAATGTTGTGTGCCTTGCAGTACTCTTGGAACTCGGCCGATTCATGACTCTCGTGCCCGTCTAACACCAGCATTCGATATGGACCCCTTGCACGAACAGCAGTATGTTTGTCGAAGTGTTTCAACCATTCTAGACCCGTCTCATTGTTTGTCCATCCATTGCTTGTCGGTTTAACAACCCAGTTGTGTGGAAGGCCGCCGTCTGTATACCAATTTGCAAGATGATTCTTGCCTTTAACTACCAAAAATGGAGGAATACTCCAGCCGTCACTGTTGATACAAGCAATCGCTGTAGCCCATTCCCGATTCCCTGGCTGAACTGCCTTACCTCTGCCAAGTCGATCTGCACAGGTAACAACCATTGCAGGGCAAATCACACCCATCATAAACCCAGTTTCGTCAAAGTTATAGAAGTCGCAGTCCAAAACACCATATTTTGCCCTCATATTTTCCACTAGTCGAAACCACGCGCCAATTAGTTCAGGATCTTCGCACAAGGCCCTTTGGAAGTCGTAAACGCGATTAAAACGCGTCTTTAATTCTGGACGTCGTTGTACAAATCGGTGGGCCCAGAGCTTCCCGACGCGCCTCCCTCCACGCGACTCGAGTATAAAATTTGCCATATCTTCTACACCAGCAAGCCGGGGTGCAAATCCTCTTGAATCCATATCAAGTATATTCCGAATAACCACCTCCTCTTCTAGTATAGTTAATTTCATCATTGCAGGCCGGCGTTCGTAGACAGTAGTTCGGCCGTTCATTCTGTCGCAGAGTGTAGAATGAGGTACTTCATAGAGCTTAGCAGCCTTCCGACGACTTAGATTTTTTGATGTTCGGATAGCCTCGATAGCTAGAATGATTTTTGCTTCTTGGGTAATCACTGACATAATAAAAGGTGGAAAAAACGCGTTGTGAAGTTAGAGGGTAGGAAATTCGGGAAAAGTGTCCGAGGTACTGATATGTCCGACGTACTGATAAACCACGTTATATATATTTTTTCCTATATAAATTTGGAATTAGAGAGAGTTCTGGTGATGGCTGGACTCGTCATTGACTCTATATTTGAAAATCCTTGGTATAACTTGATTGGGAGTCGTGGTTCCGTGGTGGGGGCTGAGACGTGGTGAAACCCGTTACGTCGGGTGGGCACAATGCCTTTTTTCCCAGTTATAGGCTGGCACAATAGCCTGATGGAGGTTGGTAGTGTGGGTGGAACGAGTGACTGACGCTGGTTGAGAATGAGAGCTATTCTGGAGCGGTGCGTTGCTTATTTGGGAGCTGGTTGGTTGGTATTGGAACCGGGCGTGATGTTCTCGGTTTCTGCTGTATCTCTCAGGATATCCTCCCTGGAATGGTATGGATGGCTGAGTATGACTGGCCTGTATTATTCAACTGGTATGACGGCCGTAAATAGACTGTCTTTGACCATGCCTCGGAGAATGAGCGACTCGACGTATCCCTTGGTGCAATCTTCTGCCTTAAACTGTCCCCTCTTCTCAGTCCTGTATATCCATAGACAGTGCATTTAGACAGCTTATTTATCCTTCTTCTGAACATCCGTCTTCGCAACCCCCGCCAAAAACCTGCTCATGAACCGCGCCACGAAGAAGCTTCCAATGGCGACAATTGTGATGTATCCTGCTGTCGGAACAAGCGATCTCGGGAACACATCGAGTATGAACGGGTCCAGGATGATGTCGACGAATACCGGGGAAGGATTTTTCATCAGATGTACATCCGTGGTGTAATAGTCCGCCGCAGTAGAGATGCTCAGAAGCAACAGCGACTCATCGGTCGTTCGAGTCGCTGGTCGAATAGCGGACTTCAGCGAATCCCCACCAGACTCTGGCTTGCTCTGCTGCGTCTCGGAGTACTCCGCCAGAGACATGGTCAATCTCGGGTTTTTGAAGACATCAGCTACTTCGTATGTTTCGAGGTGGAAAGATGTCGGTTTCTGGAGTGTTGCTGTTAGCTGAAGTAGTGATGGGGAGAAGAGAGCTGGTTACTTACCGTGGCTGGCCAGCAGATGCGAACCTCGTATCTCTGCCCTTCAGTCAAGTCGCTGAGGATGAACCATGATGCTGGACCACGAGGCAAAGCGTCGGAAGGGAACTCGGAGTGCAGCTGCGTCCGAATTGTCGAGTGCTCTGGAGATAGAGTCTGGAGGTGTAGATTCTCGAAGGTGGGGTGGTCTAGAGGAATTGTAAGGGCACTAGGAGCTATGAATATCGTCTTTTCCACATTTGCAATGACAGTCTGCGTACAAACTGCCAAAAACACAGAAATAATACTATAGAGCCTCATCTTGATATAGATTGTATAGCTGTATGACCGTGGACCCTGTGAAATGAAGCTTTGACGTTCGAAATATGATAGCTCCTCGCCAAAAGTCGCGCGCTTCCCTGAAGCAAGTCGCGCTAGCCGTGGGACCCCTGCCTGTTTTGCGCGCTATCCCAATTCATAAACAAACCCACAAAGTGCTGAAGCGACAACAACTCCTTCCCCACCAACGCTTCTGCTCTTCCCATACCTCAACAGACCAGCACCGCTGCAATCTTTTCGAGAGTTAATCCTCGAATCTTCACTCCATCGCAACTACACACAAACTTGCTACGCTCGTATCCTCTTTCAAAATGAGAGAAATCATCAGCATCAACGGTTCGTTAGCCCCTGACGCGACGTTCACCGCTCCTGATAGAGTCAACATTAGGCCTCGAAATATATCCTTGCTGACAACATTTTCCTACAGTCGGCCAGGCTGGTTGCCAGATTGCCAACTCGTGCTGGGAGGTGAGCTTCACCCTGAGCTCAAAAGCTCGAGATATGATCCTGTTCGGATGGACATTGAATACTGATGCCTTCTGTGTAGCTTTACTGCCTTGAGCACGGTATCCAGGTACGTTATCGACCCCCTAAACTTTCCGAGACCCCGGAAACAGAACATCCTTTTACCTTTGACTCACCTGCTGACGCGTGATACTTCTATAGCCAGATGGATACTTGACCGAAGAGCGCAAGGCCGCCGAGCCTGATCAGGGGTTCAGCACCTTCTTCTCCGAGACTGGTAAATATTCACCTTCGATCCACGACAACTTCATCGATAACGGACTGTTAACTGACACGATACCTTATAGGCCAGGGCAAGTACGTTCCCCGCACCATCTACTGCGATCTCGAGCCCAACGTGGTCGATGAGGTCCGCACCGGTACCTACCGCAGCCTTTTTCACCCGGAGCACATGATTACCGGCAAGGAGGATGCGTCCAACAACTACGCTCGTGGTCACTACACCGTCGGAAAGGAGCTGATCGACCAGGTCCTCGACACCGTCCGCCGCGTTGCCGACAACTGCTCTGGTCTCCAGGGTTTCCTCGTCTTCCACTCCTTCGGTGGTGGAACCGGATCTGGTTTCGGAGCTCTCCTCATGGAGCGTCTGTCAGTCGACTACGGCAAGAAGTGCAAGCTCGAGTTCTGCGTCTACCCAGCCCCACAAACCGCCACCTCGGTCGTCGAGCCATACAACTCCATCCTCACCACCCACACCACCCTCGAGCACTCTGACTGCTCCTTCATGGTCGACAACGAGGCCATCTACGACATCTGCAGACGCAACCTTGGACTCGAGAGACCCAACTACGAGAACCTGAACCGCCTGATCGCTCAGGTTGTCTCCTCCATCACCGCCTCCCTCCGCTTCGACGGCTCCCTCAACGTCGATCTCAACGAGTTCCAGACCAACTTGGTGCCTTACCCCCGTATCCACTTCCCTCTCGTCGCCTACGCCCCAGTTGTCTCCGCAGCCAAGGCATCCCACGAGGCCAACTCCGTCCAGGAGATCTCCATGTCCTGCTTCGAGCCCCACAACCAGATGGTCAAGTGCGACCCCCGCAACGGAAAGTACATGGCCACCTGCCTCCTGTACCGTGGTGACGTTGTCCCCAAGGACGCCCACAGCGCTGTTGCCACCCTCAAGACCAAGCGCACCATCCAGTTCGTCGACTGGTGCCCAACTGGTTTCAAGCTTGGTATCTGCTACCAGCCACCGCAGATGGTCCCCAACGGTGACCTCGCCAAGGTCAACCGTGCCGTCTGCATGTTGTCCAACACCACCGCCATCGCCGAGGCCTGGTCCGCTCTCTCCCACAAGTTCGACCTCATGTACTCCAAGCGTGCCTTCGTCCACTGGTACGTTGGTGAGGGTATGGAGGAGGGTGAATTCTCTGAGGCCCGTGAGGATTTGGCCGCTCTCGAGCGCGATTACGAGGAGGTTGCCGCCGACTCCCTCGAGGGTGAGGAGATCGAGGCCGAGTACTAGATTCTCTCTGGCAAGAATAATTGTTTTGTGCAGGTTATAATCTAAGGACTACACTTTGGCTGTGGAATGGAGCTGGACGATGTTCTCTAGGGAGCGTTTTACGGCTTTTTATTCATGGTCAGTTTGGTGTCTAGAATGTTTGCTCGGCGGTCTTTGCAAAATAGCGAAGCGCCTTCCTTTTCTCAACAGAATGAATGATAATTGCTTTCGAATGCATCAATGTAGCTCCCATTTTGTACCCATGGTGACGTGATACCGTGTAGATATGGTGTACCAGAATGGTTGGAGAACAATTCCGTAAATAAGGACACGAGTCTGAATGTCGCACGCCGTGAAAATTTCCCAAATGCAGCTAAATGTAGGAATCTAGACAGTCTCGTATTTGACACAATGCAATTTAAATTAGGTGATACCAATTACCTCAGATTGGGTGATGACGCGGCGGCAATTGCCGCGGTTGCCGCTTGACAATCTACCGCAACCACCGTTGGCGAAGTGGTTCAAGCTCCCCATCACACCCAAACCCCTCTTTGTTTTTAGCCTTCCGGAATCGACTCCAACCCGAGCTAGCATTGGCACGAGCAGTTACAGCTTCTCATTCAAGAAAATCAACAGTTAGGGCCCTGTGCGCTGGTGGATCAGTGCGAGCGCGATGGCGGACACCAACGTCGACTCTGGTAAGACCCTTGAATGCTCTTTCAGGACGCAATCCTCAAGTCCTTTCATCACGACCTTGTATCGACATTACGAAGGCAATACGTGTGTTCTACTGGATGCAGGCTGATGATAGACAGTTGCCCTGAACTTGAATCTGACACCAGAGGAGGTACGAGTGTTTGGGCAGCTGTTCCGCGAGGCGGACTCTGAGAACATCGGCGTTGTTACTGGCGAGGTGGCCGTGACATTCTTTGAGAAGACAAGGCTTGATCCACAGGTGCTGGGCGTGGTAAGTTCATGATCCGAGAGATCCCGTCATCCATTGAGGGATGGCAATGTCACTCATTGGACGGCTGAGCTGACTGCTGTTTACACAGATATGGAACATCGCCGACAAAGAAAACAGAGGACTGCTCACTCCTACCGGCTTCAGTATCGTCTTGAGATTGATCGGTCACGCACAAGCGGGAAGAGACCCGACAGCAGAGCTCGCATTCCGACCAGGACCGATCCCTAAATTCGATGGCGGCAAGCCGGGCGGCGCCGCACCGCCACCTCCCCAAGGGCCACCACCTGGACCAATACAACCGCAGACGAGTGGAAACCCCATAAGAGTCCCTCCGTTGACCCCCGATAAGGTCCAGCAATATGCCGCGTTATTCGAGAAGTCTGGCGCCCAGGACGGCGTATTAGGTGGCGAACAGGCCAAACAAATATTCGAACGGGCAGGGCTTCCGAATGAGGTTCTTGGGAGAATTTGGTACCTTGCGGATACTGAGCATCGAGGTGCTCTTACGGTTACTGAGTTCATCATCGCTATGCATCTGTTGGCATCGTCCAAGTCAGGGGCTATGCGCACACTACCGAATGTTCTCCCAGGTGGGCTTATAGAGGCTGCTGCGAGGCGCCCACCTTTACGGCAGCTATCCGATGTCACCGGGGGACCACCTGCAGTATCTCTGATTCCGAGGCAATTCACGGGCCACAATCTGGGAAGAACGGCCAGCCCTCTGAGCAAGCCTGCGTTTGGTCAAGTCCCTCCGTCGCCAGGTACTTGGGTCATCTCTCCTGCCGACAAGAATCGCTTTGATAGCATATACGCTACTATTGACAAGACGAATCGCGGTTTCATCACTGGCGATGAAGCCGTGCCATTTTTCAGCAACTCTAAATTGCCAGAGGAGGCGTTGGCACAGATTTGGGACTTGGCTGATATCAACTCCCAAGGCCATCTGACAAGGGACGAATTTGCCGTCGCTATGTATCTCATCCGCCAACAGAGAGGCAAGCGTGACGGGAGAGATGCATTACCTGCCACCTTGCCGGCGGAGCTGATCCCACCAAGCATGCGATCGCAAATCCGACAACCCCAACAACCTACCGCGCCTGCTTTCGAAACTGCTGCGCCGACCATTCATAAGTCCGCCGCGGACGACTTGTTCGGACTTGATGCGATGGCAAGCGCTACCCCACCACCAGCTCCTGCACAACAGGCTCTGTCCACTGGCGGATCCAATTTTGGAGACCCATTTGCAACCAGCAGAAGCCCGATGACGCCAAGCAGCCCTGTTGCTGGCAGCCCTCAGCATATTCCGACTCAGAATACGGGTTTCAAGCCATTTGTGCCATCGTCGTCCTTTGGCCAGTCGTTATCGCATAATGCAACTGGCGGATCCAGTGCGTCGACGCCGCTGGCTCGATCTGGAACCATGGACGACCTTTTGGGGGATAACGACCCGGAGATTAGCAGGAAGCTAACTAATGAGACTAGTGAACTTGCTAACTTGTCGAACCAAGTTGGTACGCTGTCAAAGCAGATGCAAGAAGTCCAGGGCCAGCGCTCAACCTCGCAGAATGAGCTTACCCAAGCAACATCCCAGAAGAAGGAATTTGAGACTAGACTTTCCCAGCTTCGCACCCTCTATGAGAAGGAGGCAAAGGATGTTAGAGCATCGGAGGAGCGCCTTACTGCATCCAGGAATGAGACCAGGAAGCTACAACAAGATATCGCCATGGTTGAAGGTTCCCATCAAGACCTTCAAAACCAACATCACCAAGTCTCAGTTGCCTTGCAAGCCGATCAGCAAGAGAATGCCAGCCTGAAAGAACGTATCAAGGCTTTAAATACAGAGATAGCTCAATTGAAGCCCCAGCTCGAGAAGTTAAGGTCCGAAGCCCGTCAGCAAAAGGGTCTGGTTGCAATCAACAAAAAGCAGCTGCTGACTAATGAAGGGGAACGCGATAAACTGAAGACCGAGGCTGGCGAGCTGAACCAGAGCATCGAGCAAGATACAAGGGCTCTCTCTGAGAGCTCAGCAGCCAACTCGAAAGCACAAAGCCCTGCCCCGGCGGCCGCAAGCCCAGCTCTATCGTCGATGAGCAC